TTTTCATGTTTGAATAAATATCATGTTTGGGGGAATGGGTTTTATTTCGGTCTAATAGAACTCATATTTTCGGGATGATGGAGAGCAGGGGTGGACAGCGAGGCGCAATAAATCGAGATTCGGAGAGGGCTGTGACGAATTTTATTACGTTTTCGGGCGTAATTAAGGATATCCAAGTACTTTGGATATTTTTCCAGTGAAATGGTTTTTTCATTTTGTAGTCATTAGAGCTTTTATTTCAGCCCGATTTGATTCGAAGTTTCCGGACATTTTACAATGATTTTATTATTCAAATTTTGCAGGTCTGAATTCAGTAGCGAAGCGGTAAACCGGGTTAAATCGATTTTGACTTTTGGTCAGTTTTTGATGAATATCTCGGAATCTAAAAGAGGTAACGAAATTTTTCTCATAACATTTTTTGTAGGGTCAATTGAGGGCTATAAAAAAGGTTATGACAAAAAATTTTCTATCTCTTTTAGGTTCCGAGATATTCGTCAAAAACTGGCCAATAGTCGAAATCGACTTAACCCGGTTTACCGCTTCGCTACTGAGTTTAAATCTCGATGTTGACTCGTCAGAAAACAAATTAAAAATAAAAAAAATGGCAGTTTACTTTTGGAGGAGAATTCATGAAATAATTAAGAAATTGTTAAGAAATTGTAATTAAAATTACGAGCATTTTTTGTAAATCATTTATAAACTATTAATTTTCCACTGTAAAAATCATTTGTTCGGAACGTAACAAATTTATTCATATTCAGAATTTCTTAAGGTAAGTTTTCCGAAAGTTAAAACAATTTCAATTATTCATTTATAAACCACGAATATTTACAAAATTGATAATTCTGTGCAAAATGCAATTTTACTGCGGCTGAATATTCACGATTTTTTAAAAAATTTTCTCACGCAATTTAATTGGCAAATTAGATGATTGGAAATGGTTGAATCTGTAGGGTGGCCTGTACCAAACTGTAAAAGATACTTGAATATCCTCAAGTTAGTGGTTCATTATATTTTTAATTGTTTCACTTATTTTTGACAACAATAAAAATAACAATTAACAATGAAAGGAACATATAGTTTGATGTCATATTTCTACCACACATTATTACAGCTAGAGTTATAATATTTCGCGCTAAATAATTGCTTCATGTCACACGATCGTTAGATTGCTCCATAAAGTAACGAGAACAGAGTCCGTTCATTAGTTAATCTTCATCGGATCGTTCATTCGATAATCTTTGGTGAAGATGCTAGATTGCACAAGTCTTTTTTTATCTCTGTAAAAAAAGATGTTGTCTACACAATACATATTTAATTATAATAATTATACATATTTTTTCATACAAAAAAATAAAATATATAAATTTCTCAAAGAAATATCAAAAAGATTTGTATAATCTAGGATCTTAACCAAAATTATTCTTGTTCCTAGACTTAAGTTTCTCTATAAAAAAATGAAACACCAATTTTTTATAGAGCATTATTCAACTTTAAGGTGACAGCGAATTTATTTAGATCGAGTTGTCGCTTTAAGAGATGTTGTAACTGTCGAATAATTGAATAATCATGATTAAAGAATAATATTGAAAACATTATCCATTAATAACAATTCAATATTCATTAATAATTGAACAATTATTAATGAATAATATTTAATTGTTATCAAGGAATACTATTGACAACATTATTCATTAATAACAATTACCTAATATTTAAAACCAGAAACTTCATTTCTGTCTACATTCACTTTACCTTTATTATCACAAGGCAGAGCCCAACAATTAATTTCACCCCATCGTCTTTCCCCTTTATCCCCACAATATGAGAAGATGCATAAATATACCGAGTAATCCAACTCCAGACGACGATTTAATTCAGCGTGGAAAAACGAGTGCGCCCCGGGGCGGTTTTACAAGACCGAAAAAAAAGACAGTGGACATGTAGTTACGCTTTACAAATAGGGCCATTCAAAAACCACGGACGAAACAAAGTGGTTACACGGTTAATTAATGTTAAGTTCCTCCCGCTAGAAGCCTAGAAAAAAATATTTATAATTGTTGCGGGCCATTAAGTCGCCCCCTCGAATGTTCATAAATACGAAATTACGAGGAGAATAGTAGCGACTAACGAGGGCCATTAGCGCTTGGAATTAAACAGATCCTGGGCGTTAAAATGAACGCGAAGAATTGCCGAAAACAGAGTGAAAGAAAGTGCGGAACCCGTGGAGCATACGCTGCCTTTTGCCTGCTCTCTGTGTTGATGCCTCGACGGAAAAGGATGCACGGGGGTAAGCAACGATGGCATCCTCGTTTTCCCCCCCAGAACGAAACCCACCGTGAACAAACGCCCGACTGCAGCGCGAACGCGTTATTTGAGAGGGAAACTCGGCGCTTTTGGCTCACGCAGTTGTGCAAATCCTGTTGTGGTCGAATTAGATTAAGCCGTTGCGTTCCCTTGCATATACTAGTGCATGTATTCCAGTGTTTCATAGGTGGGTCGCAGAATGTACATTGACTTCCGGTGGAGAGTTAATGCATCGAATTATGATGGCTATCGAATTCAGGAAATGAAAAATTGAGAAAGCGTTTGGGATTTTTATTTGCGTTTTTAATAGTAAATAAAAGTTTTCGGGGAGCCGAATGACGACTTTTTGAGGAACAACAACATTTCGGTAGTAAATTACTAAACTTCCATTTTTATTGAGTTTTCATGATGGCTATCGAGTTCAATAAATGAAAAAATGGAGTTTTAATCGGAAGATATTTCAAGGAATTCGGAGGAGTTTATGATTTTTATTAGTTTTTTTAAAATAATAAATAAATGTTTTCGAGAGCCGAATGAAGACTTTAAGGTGACACTGTCGGAAAATATGGAATTTCATAGACAGTTGACTAGAAATTTTGAATCAAAACATGAATATCCAATAGTAAATTACTAATTTCCGTTTCTATTGATTTTTCAAAATGGCTATCGAATTCAAGAAATGAAAAAATCGGAGATTTCAATTGGAAGATCACTGAGAGAAAAATCAGAACTTCGATTTGCAATAAGAAAATAGTTGACGCAGTTTGGTGAACGATACGATTTTTTTTTGTATGCGACACATAACATTATAGTAACTTCACAAGCGTGATTATTGCAAATCAAAATGCAGTTAAACTAACCAAAGTTCAAAAGTAACCACGACAAATCAATCGTGATTAGACCCGAGTCGAATATTAGGACCTGAATTCCCCCTTGAACACCTATCATGAGTAGGAGTACCAGGATGAAGTTAGGGTGTATTTACATTCAGAAAGACCCCCTGGTTTCCGCCTGAACGTGCGAGTTATTTCCAAATTCCGAGGGTTCAGGAGAAAAACAGGAGGTGTGTTAAACCTATTTATCGCCTGCACCCCCTAAAATGTTTTCCACTCCATCCCTCCTGGAAAGAACCTACAAACCCTTTGGAGGTATTTTTTTTTTATTTTTAATTATTAACATGAGAAGCACGGGTGAAAATTAAGGTCATACTCAAGGGTCATATATAAGGGTCAAAAATAACGGTCAGAAATGACAGTCAAAAATAAAGGTGGGAATTTCAGTAATTTTCACCGCAAACGGAAATGAACAAAATAGTGAGCTACTCAATCATCCTGGCTATCAGGGTTAATTCAGGGGATTTATGATTCCTTTTCATTCGACAGGAGGTGAAGGGGGAAAAAAGTATCAGTTGAGAAGGGTTTTTACGCCTTTAGGATGAGGCAGGATCATATAAAGAGTTATTCAGGATGTATAGGATGAATAAAGGAGGAAAAAATATCTCAAGGAGGTAATAGGGGGGAATAAGGTCCAGATATTCGACTCGGGGAACTATAAAATAGTTGCAATCACTACATTCCATTGTAGTAATTACTTCTCCGGCCATAGTTACCGTAACCCATGAAAAATTGTTGAGGATTTTTTGACTATAATTCGATGGAGATGGAATATAGTCAGAAGAATCATATTTTTCTCTCAGTGAAATTTCAGGGAAATTGGAGAAGAGATTTATAATTTTTATTTGCGTTTTTAATAATAAATAAATGTTTTCAGGAACTGAATGAAGACTTAACGATTAGAATGTTAGAAATGAGAATTCTCCATTTGGAATCTCCATTTTTAATCAAAACCTAAATTTTCAATACTAAATTACGAAAGTTCCGTTTCTATTGATTTTTCACAATGATTATTGAATTCCAGAAATTAAAAAATTGGGATTTTAATCGGAAGAAATTTCAAGGGAATTCAGAGAAATGATTCATGGTTTTTATTCAGGTTTTTAATAATGAATAAATGTTTTCGAAAGACGAATGAAGACTTTGAGATTAGAATGTTGGAAAAAATGGAATCGCATGGAGAGTTGATTACAAATTTTCATGAGAGTGACATTGAATTCGATTCAAGAAGACGAAAATTATGAGATTTCAGATTTCATCGCAAATTTTATGAAATTCAAGATTTTTTTAACAGCAGAAGGATGAGAATTTCCAATTTGAATTTTGAAAGTGACTGAATTCTCCGACTTCTATTAATTTTCGTGGAATTATTGAACTGAAACTTCTCTCTATTAATTTTTCACGATGCCTATCTCACAGAAAATGAAACATTTGGCATTTTAATGGGCAGAAATTTTCTGAAATTCAAAGATTTTTAATGCAGCGAGTAACTGTCAACGATAATGAGAAACTCAAGAAAAAAATAACACTTCATTAAAATCACGTAATGTTTTGCATGAACATTAATTAATTGCTCATCTCCTTTAATGTCCCAAACAAATTACCGGACTTAAAGGACCAAATTACCCAAAAATATTTTCCATTTTGCTGCAATAATTCTCCAAAAAAACACCTCCAAAATATCTCTATTTTTCGATTTTTCTAAGAGCACTCATGCGACTGAAATCCCTCAAACGAATGCATTCGACATTTTTCGATGCAAGAAAAATATTGATACATCCACTAAAAGCATGAACTCACCAGCAGTTTATCGCACATTGTCCATGCAATACGAAGCAAGTGGAAAATACGAGTAACCCCGGTCATTCATTCCCTTCTCGTTGATTCAATGATCGCATTGTATCGCATTAACCGACAGCCCGGTGCCGCAGCCACTTCAACTGCTGTTTTCTAGCTTTTTTTAAATCTTTTTAACAGCATTTTGATTGTACACCTATTGTTTACGACCATCTGCATTCATTGCAACGAGTAAATAGTCCCAACACACCGCCCCAACTCGTCAAAACGTACGCAAACACTTTACGACACTTTAACGATTGAAATAAAACATTTCAATTTCTGAATTTTTAGGATATGATTGTAAATTGTTTATTATTCATTTGGAGTTGCCGATAGATTGCAAATCAGCGGGCGCACGGGGTAGACTAAACCATTTTGCATCATGAGGAAAATACGGTTTGCATAGTAATTTTTCAATTTTTACCGCTCCCCAGCTCCTCTCGTGAATATGCAAATCAATTTGATTACTGCGAACAACAACTCGTATTTTCATAGATTACCCGGTAAATCCATTCGTCAGTTGCACTCACGGGAATTTCATGAGTGTCGCGAGAAAATTTCGATTGAGAGAAAATACAATCCATAGTCGATTATAATCCATGTTTGAATCCCAATTGGGGATTTACATTCATTCATCTCGGCACAATTCACATGTGAACTCAATGACATCGATTGAACAACAACTTGGAAGAGTCAACCGGAAGTGCACGGAGAGGAATTTATTGTTATCCCTCAGAAGTCACGATCGAACAACACAAACGTGACAGGTTCACGCCGCGGATCTCACTGAGTCCCCGCATTTTCCGGCGAACCGCTCAAGTTTCCAACCCCCACCCCCCGGCCCACCCCCCGTACGCAGGCGCAGCCCCAAAGAATCAGCGGCATACAGCACCCCGTTCCATCACTTTGCGCATCCATCCAAAAATACCATAGTTTCGTTATTTTATTAAAACGCGAGAAGAAGAGGATGAAGGAAAAATGGAGACGGCATGGCATTTCCCTGACGTCTCAACTGGATGAAATAATTTAGAGGGTTCGATGGGAAGAGTCATGGGGAGATTGACGTGAGGGTTTATTTTTGAAGACGGTGGTGAGAATCTTTGAACACAGTTTTTAGAACATTATTGATAACTTGGTGGAGCCAAGGGGAGATTTCCTGGTTATTTTCGGAGACGTTAATCGGAATTAGGGGGTAACATTTTTATGGAGTTGTTTCACTGGAATTTTGAAGAATTTCGGCATTTGAAATTCGGAATGGGATAATAAAGTTGATGAAGATGTGGTGTTTCACATGAAATAATTCAGAGGGACTCGATTGGGGGAGTGAAGGGAAGATAGACATTCCTGGTTATTTTTGAAGACATTGATAAGAATTTGTGGCTTAATTTTTTATTAAGTTATTTCACTGGAATTTTAAGGAATTTCGGGATTTTAAATGCGTAATGGGATAATAAAATCGATAAAGATGTGGTATTTCACTGAGGTTGCAAGTGGATGAAATAATTTAGAGGAATTCGATGGGGTGAGTCAGTGGAAGATAGACTCTTTATTTTTTAAAACATTGATAAGAATTTGTTTCACTAAAATTTTAAGGAATTTCAGCATTGAAAATTCCGAATGGGATAAAAAAATTGATGAAGATATGGCATTTTCCGGGCGTCTCAGCTGGATGAAACAATTTAGGGGGATTCGATGGCGTGAGTGACGGGGAGATAGACATTCCTGTTTATTTTCGAGGAGATTGATCGAAATTTTTGGTTTAAATTTTTATCAAATTATTATTTCTCTGAAATTTCAAGGAATTTCGTCGCTGAAAATTCACAGTGGGTTAAACAATTTGATGAAAACTGTACATTTAAAAACATAAAATGAATAACAGGAGATTTATCTGGAATGAATTAATTATCAATTTCTTATAATCAAAACATTTTCATTAGAATAAATTCATCTGCAACAAAAATACGGTTTAAATCGACAGAAAAATTTCAAATAAAGAGTTTTATTTCATTGAAATGCATTAATGCCTGTCATTAACTGTCAACAATAATAAGAAATAAATTTTAAATCAAATTCACTGACGATTTGATTCTAAAATTGCAGATAAATCTCCGTTTTCAAATCTTGTTCATTAATTTCTTCAGAAAAAATTAATCTAGCCAAATAATTAAAAAATACACGGGACTGACGATTTACGTTATTGAAGCTTCATCCATCCAAAAAGCTCTCACAATCTCTCATCTTCCACTCTATTTTGAAATTCAGTAGCAAAGTTATAAAATGGTACAAGCCAATTTTGACTATTGACCAGTTTTCAATGAATATCTTGGAATCTAAAGGAGATAGTAAAATTGGGGTTATAACCTTTTTTATAGAGCCAATTGAGTGCTACAATAAATGTAATTACGAAAATTTCGCTATCTCCCTTAGATTCGGAAATATTCCTCAAAAACTCAACTGGGAGATGAGTCGACTTGAACCGTTTTACCACTTCGTTACTGAATTCATCATTTTTTTCTATCCAGATAAATTTTTACTGCATAAAAATCTCGAGTCATCTTAGCAAGTCCACCGACTTTTGCTTGACCCCGAGAAAATTAAGTCACGACTGGAGTAATTGAACATTCCACCTATCGTCACTTTGAAACTCAGTTTCCAGCGGTGGGTTGAGAGACTATTCAACAGTAGGAGATGGTCAAACACCTCGTGGGAATGTGAGGATCACATTTCGTGAGTCCAGTGCTGAGGGAATATTCTATGCATACGAAAGGTGACAATGCTTGTTCGAAAATTAAGATTACCCGGGAGAGAATATACGGTTCGAGTGGTTGCGAATTGCGGGGCAGGGGGTGGAGAGCAGAGAATGAATGTAGTTTGGACGGGACTTGTGACTCAAGCTGGGATGCAACATCGCGAACGGGGGACCGATAAACCGTGCGCACAGGCATGAAACGAGTATTGTGAGCTTGTGGTGCTCCAACTTGGACAAGTTTTAATTTCGTCGCAGTGACACCGGAAAACCTCGCGCCACAATCGCTGGGAAGTTGTCAGTGACGGGTTTACTTTCATTCACTTCCGTGGAGTTATTAAATTTTTTGGGATCCTGGGAGCTTAATTCGGGGTGTTCATCCTCTCATGAGTAAGTGTGTCTTTATTATGGGTAATAGAGATACAGTGTCAGAAAAAAATTGAAATTTCAGAGATAAAAGGCGGAGAGAAAAGTTGGATAAAAATTGCTCAGAAAATTATGGCAAATTTTACTGTGCGAGAGGTTATCGTGGAGTGAAATGTAATTGAATGACATTAACAACTCATTTTCAATATGTAAAAATTTTTAAAAAACCGTTATATCAAACGAAATGATCTGAAATGTCAGTGGAACTGCTGCCACTTAAAAAAATGTTTTCCAAGTTTTGTCCATAAAATTATAATTTATTACTACATTATCATTTTTATACATTAAAATAATAACAAAATTAATTATCACTCCACACTTTCCTCTCCCCCACTCATTAAAATTTCTCCCAGACTTCATGAGCTTATTTCCTGCAATTCCCTTTCAAATATTAAGTGAAAAACTGATGGACCGCGTGGCACGCGACAAAAGCCCGTGCGAAGAAATAAAAAAGAATTGAGTTTTATGGTGAATGGCTGACGTGAAAAAAATTGTTTCATTTCTCTCTCCATTCGCATTTTCGTCGTCGTGCTAAAAAATACGAAAAAGCATCACCGGAAACCCTCATTTACATCGTTTCCATTTTCTCCATTTTTTTTTTCATTCGGGAGGTACATTGAAATTGAAAACGCTCGGTACCCAATTTTCCAACTTTGCGCCCCCCATCCCCCGCCCCGGCGACTCCTTGAGCTCTAGAAAACATTGGGTTTGAATTCCATCGAGAAGTGGGTAGCTGGGGTAGCTAATTTATGCACTTGGCGTACCTGATTCATCGTCAAAGTTTCGTTCGATGCCCTGCGTTTAATTTAAACTCCCCTGGGTTGAACGCCAACGGTTAAGGTTGCTACGGCTTCATACTTGACAGTTGTACGCATCGAGTCAAGCCTTTCATGAATTCCACTGAAAAGAAATCGTTTAAGTTCACTTCAATATTTTCCCACGAGTTTTACCCCCTGTAGACTTTATTCTCAGGGAGAGTTTCACGACATAATGAGAATTTTCAGCGGAAATTTACTGAGCAGCAATTTTTACGGTTACGGTATTGATTGATAATTCCAGGTAATTCAATTAGTTCTGACAGTTTAGAGAAGAACTGAATAAGTTGTAACTGGAATGAAACTATTTGAAATTTTCCCATTTGTTTCAACAATAATTTTTGAAAATTATTGTTAAAACGAATTCATTAGCGAAGTGGTAAAATGGGACAAGTCAATTTTGACTATTGACCAGTTTTCAATGAATATCTCGGAAGCTAAGGTGGATAGCTAAATTTTTGTTACAACTTTTTTTGTAGAGCTACAATAAATGTAATTACGAAAATTTCGAAAATCTCCCTTAGATTCGGAATTATTCCTCAAAAACTCAACTGGGAGGTAAGTCGACTTAAACCGTTTAGCCACTTCGCTACTGAATTATTAAATAATAATAATTAAGTCAGTTTAATAATTCTCACTTTTTTAGTATATCATATTCAATTTCCCTGATGTAAAGATATGATTTAGGGGAAAAAATAATTGAATTTCAAATTTTTTCATTTGTTTGAACAATTATTTTTGAAAACAATTAATAAGTAAAAATAATTGATTAATTTCTGAAGCTTTGTGACCCTTACGAACCCTGAAAATTTTTGCTTCGTTTTAATTTACAAAATTGTCTTATTCTCTGATGTAACAATTCGATTTAGCAGAAAACAATAACTGAATTTCAAATTTCACTGAATATTCAATGAGATTTCAATCAAAACATGAATATTCAGTGCAAAATTACTTACAATTTTCAAGCATAATTTCAATTAAAAAATATATTCTTTTCAGCTCTGTAAATTTCAATATTTTCCAGCAATAATTTAACTGAAATTCAGTCTCCACTCACTTTCCCACAAACATTCGAATTTTCGATGACAAAATTTTTTGAAATTTCAGTGAAATCTCATTGTCGTAAAAAATTCCAAAAATGTTCAATAGTGTAGCTCAATTCTCTTGAAATTATTTGAATGTACCGTATCATTTAACATTCAATATTTCAAAAACTTGTATCAAAAAATTCCTTGTATGCATTTCAGTAGAGAAGTGGTAAACCGGTACGAGTCAATTTCGACTATTGACCAGTTTTCAATGAATATCTCAGAATCTAAGGGAGATAGCAAAATTTTTGTTAAAACCTTTTTTATGGAGCCGATTGAGAGCTACAACAAATGTGTGTTTGGTGAGGAACCAGGTTTAGGGTGGCTGTGGGAAAAAAATGTGGAGGGAGATGCTGGAAAATTAATGATGGCACTGATTATATAAATATCACTATTTATTCGTGGGATCGAACCACGTCGTTAATATTTTATGCACTCTTTGGTAAATTGTCACTGTTGATAGTCTTCAATTTTAATAAAGTTGAATCACTGATAATGGTTGAATTTTAACTAGTTATTGTGGTGATGTACTGAACGAAACGGTGATCTTACAAAGACCGGTGATGTACTTGGTTACTAGTGAGCTAGGTGAGGTTCAAGAAGCCACTGTACTCGATGAGGTGCGATGTAAGACTTCTACAGGTGATTTTCCCGAGATAGACTTGTACGGTGAGAGGCTGAGCC